AGATTGAGAGGAGCGGCACGGTGGCGACACATGTCCTCTAATCAGATACCTGTAATGCGACTAAATGGCTGCCGTGATCTGCCGCGCTCTGCAGGCGACAGACACGGAGACGGCTTAGTGGTGCGTGAGGGCCGGGCCATGGCCGACCGTCAATGGAGGAGGAGCAGAAAAAGACGAGCGCGTCAAATCTGGAATAGTTTCAGCAGACCACTGTCTTGTTGGCAGTCGATTCACTTCTCCATGTTGACATAAATCCGTCCAGGGTCAAGGTCTGCTGTCACCGGCAGGGTTGGTTTTAGATTCGCATATCGAGCCAAATAATTTTTGTTTTCTTAATTTAGCTCTCAGAGCTCAGGAGCCACTGGGGTAAGAGGACGTGGCCCGTCTATGGTGCCGTGGCCCGCCGTCCCGTGTGGTGACCTTGTCTCACTGTTGTGAGCTCCGCCACCTCACCTCCTGGCGGCCTCAGTTGCGGCCCTCCCGGACAGTGGGCCGCTGTGGAGTCATGATGGCTGGCCAGACAGCGCCGACAGCCGAGCAGCATGCGTTCAAACAAATGCTAAATCAACACAGCGTCGAGCGACCGATCTGCTGCGCGCGCGACGCGCACGAGTATGCTAATGGGCCTCGGGGACAGAGACCCGGCCCGACACGGCAGCATATGGCACTGTCCTGATCTGGGTACCGCTCATCGAGCGAAGCGACCGGTCGCCAGCCGCTAACTGACGCAGCTGTAGGATAACGAACGAGGCTGTGTTGTGGTTTGTATTTTTAGGAAATTTCTGAGATCTCGATTCTCGAGCACCACTGGACGTACCTGAGTTGAAGGCATGATGCATTGAGTACTACCCGATCCGGGAAGCCTCGTACAACATGGAGCGGACGGTGTTGGCTGTGCCTGGTCCTGACTGATACCCGGACTTATCTGACGCGCTGGCATGCATCCTAACCGAGCGCCGGACTCCGTGAACTGCCTTCCATAATGCATCGGAGCTGGACTCGGCGCGGCTGCTGCGCCCGTCGCCGTGCCGCGCTCCGTCCCCTTCTGACAGATTGACCACTCCAAACGTCCGCCTTCAGATGCGGCAGAGGACCGGACGGTACCGGGCGCAGCGGCCCTGCGACGCACGGCTGCTATCTTCAATGTCTGTATCTTACGTTTTATCACCCACTTGGTGTAAATAGAAGAATTGGAAACTGTGAGAGTTAGTAGAATACGTCATTGGTGCTTTTTATAAAAAAGTTATGAAATTGGACGAGACGAATTCAAAGAATGTCGAGCTTGATAACATAAGTAAGCATTTGTTAGTTAGGCACATTCATTCGGAATGTCTCAGAGCGGAGAGAACTCGCGAACATTACGATCGTCATAGGACCAGTGGAATGCCTTTTCTGGTATGTGTGACTGCAGGTACCGCAAATCGTGTGAAAGTCGAGGTCGGCCTGCAGCCGGGACACGCAGATACCATCCGCGGTTTTCGGCCGGTGCTGGGCAGCTATAGAGCCGCAGGGGTCGGCTCTAGCCTCTCAGCTCGGGCTGAGCGACTGCAATGACCGCGAGGGTCGGCCATAACCCAGCTCGGACGCAGCTCCGCGCCGGCCGCGGCCGAGGGGTCCGTCCGCCCCTCCCGTTCGACCGTGGTAACAGGCATGCGTCCCGGCCAGCTGCTGAGGCTGTGCTCTCGCCGACTGCGTCCGATATGTGTGTCCGAGTTGATCCGCCCGGGGAAAGGTCGGGCCTCCGGCCTAGAGGGGGTGGCTGTGGTCCTCCCTCCCGCCGCGCCGTGGATTAGTCTCGCCAGGAAATACAACCGTCGCGTGTCATGAGAAGCGACAGTGAACAGATTCATAGGAAATGCAGGATTACTCACTATCGTCGGTCCATCTAACAGGAAAATCACGGATATGTTCGACAGCGCTGGTACAGAGCTCGTGTAGCGGTTTCGGAACTTCCTACCACCATAGGGGCGAGCCGACCGTTATAGGCGACCGGGGCTGGTCATTTTTGTTGTTGGGCGACTTCAACTACAGTAATTAAATTGAGTCTGAAGTGATAACTGCACCAGGTGTGCAGGTGGTGGCTACTGATCTATCGTTCACCTCAAGCTATCAGCGGATTATTACGCCGCTTTAGTTTTCGTCGAATCATGTTTCGTGATTTTGATTTAGCGCGACGTAATATTTATTTATTTATGTATTACCTTCTTTTTAATTCCTAGGCAAATTATTATACGTGCCAACATGAATATTTTTATGCATTTAGTCCCTCAACTAAATGTATCTCAAATTTATATTTGTTCTTGATTTCTACTTGAATATCATTGGATGGCACTTAGCAAGCACGGACGTATAAATAAACGTTTATTTACATAACGTCCGTATTAGTAAGCTGTTATTTCGTTTTACCGCCGTTAGTGTGTGCCGATGGTCCGCATGCCGCGGTTGGACACTGAACTGAACACACTCGAGCTGCGCTGGCGGTGCGGCTGCCTCCCAGCACGCTTTGTGGCCAGCCGTGCACGTTTCTTTCGCGTATACGCCAGGCGTGCATGTGCTCGAAAACCACAAACTAATGGTAGTGCAGCGGTCGTTAAATTCCCAGCCGCCGATGGGCTGATTTGGGTGTGACTGATTGCGCGGCCAGCCGACTGCGGTCTGCGTGCAGTGTCAGCCGATTGCCTGGTGAGCTGTTGGGGACAATTTGTATTACCCTGCTAAAGCTTCTTATCGCTAATGGTGGTCTTGGTGGGACCAGTGGTTTTCTCAGGCGGGTCACCGTGGCCTAATGAGGCGATTGGTGGTGGCAACCTTTTTACTTCACAGCTAACCATACGTAATTGTTTAATTGCTCACTGTTCGCAGTTTATACCTAGCACTTGTGCATATTGATTTCCAGACATGCGAGTCTTATTTAAATATGCCAACTCGTGCTGCAGCGTTAGGAGCTAAGCCTTCCCATATATAAGCTCTCTATCATATCATAACATCAATAGTTTCTCGGCATTGGCAACATTGCTCCACGTTTGTGTGGATACGGTGATCAGTTACATGTACGATATCTGATGGTGTACTTTTATAATACCTTTCCAGGATTCGAAGAAGTCATGCTTCTGTAAAACACGCGGCTGCTTGGGGAGCCGCAGTGGCTAGTCTAACCGCACGCTGCCCGGTTTGGGCATCCACCCTACATCCGCGCCGGGATAGAGAGATTCTTGAACGCGATTCGAGCATGCACGCGTGCCGGTGGCGCGGTCAGTGGGTAAGGCTGGCTGGGAGCGGGCGCAGCCGGCGTCGAGCACAGCCCTGTGAAACAGACACGTCCATACTCGGGAGTGCTGATACTGCCGGCTCTATCGGACAATCGCGGCATTGTTTCATTGCATCACGCTTCAGAGGCACAACTGGCCGAGTTTCCATCGGCGGAGACGATTCTCAGGAAGCTAGCCGAGTAGCGTGTACGATCTACGTGTTAGCTTTTAAGGCATTTGCATGTCGGACGAACGCCAGCACCTAATCACATTTTTATGTCTGGTGCGTTGTGTGTTTTCGACATGCCCGCCTGCAAATCTGCAGAACATGGTTGGTGTTCCACGATTTTGATTTATTCCAGTTTTTTTCTAGTGTTTATCTGTTAAACGGTTAGCTCTATTTTTGCGTATGTATTCAAGAAAGCATTTAACACAAAGCAGTAATACAGCATTGCATAATCAAATCGTTAAGATTTATTGCAAGTAAGTATGCAGGAATAAATAGTAGGCAGGTATCGTATTGTAATTGTATTGTACATTTCAGAGCGATGCACATTCCAAATTGCGTAGCGTTTACTGTTCACTTGGCTCACTGGGCTGAGGGGGCGTACTTACACCGTGCTGAGTATACGATACCGGTAAGACTTTGGAATTATGATATTTCGAACATATTAACATCGAATTGTCGGTTTAACAATCAAAATGTTGACGTCTATATACATTTGAACGGCTGATTTTGTAATTCATGTTTGGTTTAATTGCGAGCTTCCAATCGTACCACTTAGCACGCGGCACCCTTCTAATTTCCGCGGAACACATTTAACTTCCACGCTTACGTCAGAATTTATTGCCTTGCTTGCGTCTTAATGTTTTACCTTGATGAATAAGTTGACAGTAAGATATGTGTCTAGATTATGAATGTTCATGCGGCACGAGAAGAAGAGATGGCACTTTTAGGCCCAACTGGTGGTGGGAGATGTTCCTCCACGACTAAGGCATCAATATACCCAACCAGACCCAAAAGCCAAATATGTGTCCGATGCATGTATGCATGACCATCCTCTCGCTCAGACAAGACTATTGGTCGGTTTATATGCGCATAATTCAACAAAGCTGCGTGCATTGATAGGTGTGTCACCATCCACGTTCTACTGAGTCGTTAATTCAAGATCGACCAGCCGATGTTACCCAATGGTTTAATTGGAACTGATCTTAATATGCATTGCGTAGAGCACATATTTTCGTGCCAAACGTGCAAACCCGATGTTCTTGGAATGCAGTTTAAAATAAGATTGGCCGCGGTTACAACTTACACGTATGATGTGAATTTAATTATAACGATAGTTGAGCAACTCGTTCTTTAATGAAAAATTGGTTGCCGGCTCCGGTTTCGCAAATATAGATGCATGTATAGGTATACAAAACATGCAAAATTAAGATAAAAGTGACCGTTTAAACTTACTTATGCACTATCAATGAAACCATAGACTTATATGGTTTTTAACCATAGACTGTATACCGCGGTATACAGAGGTCTATGATGAAACATTTGTTTAATGCATCCCTTTTAGCACCAATAATTAATGTTGCTGCCCCACCGCCGGGGTCCAGGGCGGCGCTGTTAGGGATGTCCTCCACTGGCGGAGCGGAGTTGGAGCCCCTAGTGTTGACAGACCTGGGGCGGTGTGTGCGGTGTGTCGCTGTAACCCTCGGGGGAGCTCGGCCTTGCTGACCTGCGCCGCTCCTTTCCAGAGCTGAGGGAGTCACTGGACAGGTTCGCGCCGCCCGGAGTCACGGCCTTCTCCGAGATCTTGTTCGACATTCAGAAGTACCAGATGATCGTGGGAGCCAGGTAAGAGTTTGCAGTGACTTGTCGGGCCTAATTGCTGGCTGTCACAGCTAATCCTGATCGAGATCGCAACAGAGGAAAAATGCGAAAAATGTTATCATCATGGGAAGTTGAATCCAAAAAGAAGCGAATACCTGTCGATAGTTAATGGAAGTAGTTTGTTTAAAAATTCAAATACCACAAATGATGCCAGGATTGCCGTTAGCTACGTCAAAGCAGTCCTTGTTTTGATTAGACATCTTAAGGTTGTAAGTTCAAACGTCTTAAAAGTTTGATTTCAGGCATAGATATCAATTATGTTTGAGTCGCTTTATATTTATTTGTTGGAATGCTAACGATGTCATTTTTTGCATTTTCGTGATAATCCTGGTAATTTATTTACACCATTTTACGATGTGCAGCTAGCCACCACACTGGATAACACGTGGATAACGTCACTCGAGTCCGGGGCAGAGCTGATGTAGACCGCGGCTTTCGAAGTACTTCCAGAGGCTTCGATGTTGGTTTACCCCACTTCTGTTAGGAGTCTGAGTCAGGTGTCTGGCCGCCCCAGGATACTCAGCTGGGTGTCTGAGTGGGCGCCGCGTGTCTGTCTCTCTCCAGGGACCAGCTGTACCGTCTCAGTGTGCGCGGCCTGCAGGAGCTGGAGTCGGTCCACTGGCCGCCGACGCCGCGCGACGCCACACTCTGCGAGATCAAGGGCCAGGCGGCCGGCGACTGCCGAAACTACATCCGCGCGCTGCACAGCCGCGGCGACCGGCTGCTGGCCTGCGGCACCAACGCGTTCCAGCCGCAGTGCACGTGGCGCGTGCTGGAGTCGCTGCGCACCGTACTGGCCTCCGAGTCGGGCGTGGCCGTGGCGCCCTACTCGCCGCGCTTCAACGTCACCTCCGTGCTGACGGCCGACGGCGACATCGTGGCCGCCACGCCGACCGACTTCTCTGGCCTGGACCCGGCCGTGTACCGGGGCGCCGGCGTTAGCGGCCGCGCCGCCCTGCGCACCAGCAAGTACGACACCCGCCTGCTGCGGGAGCCCCAGTTCGTCGGCTCGTTCGAGACGGCCGACTTCGTCTACTTCGTCTTTAGGGAGGAGGCGTTCGAGCTGCTCAACTGTGGAAAGGTGAGCTGCGGAATGGGACTCCTGTTCTCCGCCGGGGCTGTAACTTATCTGCCCTCCCTGTGAAACAGTGATAGCAGCAGGCAGAATGTTATGAACTGTAACGTAATTCACTTTTTATGAGCATGGCGTCAGTGCCCATTTACAGTAAATGACAAGTCCATGCTCTCATATTTCAACGTCTACTCTAATCGCATTACATCTCTGGATTGTCGCCCGGGTGTCGGGATGTTACACTGTTTTCAAATCCTGGATGCACCGGTCTCTTATCTCTCGCTAAGTAGCGGCTCTCTTCTGTAACACCTGTTCAACCAGAGAGGCCCTCCGTTATACGGGCCGGCCAAATTAGGAGGCCGTGTCGCCCATTTTCAGCAGACGAGACGCGACACTCGTCCTGTCACAGATAACTTGATAAAAGCTGCAGTGATACCACTAGTCGCCTTAGCAGTAATCCTGGTCATCGAGATCTTCAGCGCCCGGCAGCTGTTGGCTATGGACATTTGACTTGTCGATCGCGTTAGCACAATGATGCCACACCTTTCTTTGTATGTTTTCCATCATCAATCAGCAATGTCACTCCGGTCTATATTGTCCTCGTGTTAGACCTGTCATTAACACTAATTCCAACTCGATTTAAGTCAGAACCGTTAAAATTGACGTTAAGGCGAAGCTACATCGCAAGACCTTTGCAGGGAAAGAGACGGTTACCCAGAACCCTTGTATCATTAGCATTTACACGCACGTTAAATGGCGCACAACTGTTTCACTTCGTGTGCGTGTCATCGCCGGTACTTACATCTTAATGCGACTATTGGATCATGTCCTTTTGAAATGTCTCGCCTGGCTTCTTTTGCCCAGTGTGTCCGGTGCTGGCCATCTGCAAATGGACTTGGAACGGGTCAGACACATTGATGAACGCCACACGCCACTTTGGGTCAGACCAGGAAGATAGGGATGCTTTATAAAAAGAGGAGCATGCATTTATAATTTTGGACATTTACCATGTCATCAAATGCTTTAAATCCTCCCCCGAATCCCGAAACCCATGCATTCGTACTACGCATACACCACAAGGCCATACAGTGTACAGTGAGTGTAAGGCCATACACTCCCGAATGCTTATCTTGTGGAATCCCAATAGTCCTTTCTTGTTATAAGAACAGGTACGGGATATTTTTAGCTGTTGTGACAGGATTGGAATAAATAAGTTTGAGTAAATAAAGTTATTTCGACTAATTTGATTTTCATCATTACGTAACATTTGATGAGGCTATAAAAATGAACGGTTGTCTCAGTATTGAGTCAACATCGATGTATATGCTATTTGGCAAGCCCTCTTGGAATGCCGAATCAACAAAATTATCATACCTAAGTACACCACATTCTGGCGTGTAATCCGGAAATCCCGAAACGGGTATCCTGTTTGCAGCGGGATGGCCGATGGCCGAATCAGGTATTTCTTGTTAATGCACACGTGCTGTCTCGCCATCAGTGCTCCAGCGCTACATCCGTTTACACTGTCCCCTCGTCTGCTCCGTTCCCTCCCTCTGCATCTCACTTCTCTCTCACTCTCCGTCCCCTCTCTCCCCACTCTACTCTTCTATTTCTTCTCTCTCTCTCTCTCTCACTCTCTCTCTCTCTCCCATCATCTGCAGTCTATCCTCAAGCCAAAGCCCTCCTCTGACCTCGTATTTCACCCGGCAGCGTGTGGTCTCCCGAATCGGGCGGATTTGCAAGAACGACTCGGGCGACCGGCGCGGCGTGTGGACCACGTTTCTGAAGGCGCGCCTCAACTGCTCGGTGGCCGGCGAGTACCCGTTCTACCTGGACGAGGTGCAGAGCATCCACTATCTGGACCGGCACGAGGTCCTCTACGCCACCTTCAGCGCGCCAGAGTGAGTTCAGAGCCGATCGGTCGGACGGACCGGACGGACCAGCCGGCACTGGCAGAGGGCACGGTATTGGTGTCGTCGGTAGGCATCCTGTTGAGTTTATCAGGCGGCGGTGTAAAGTGCTCCCTGATGAAACATCAATCTAGATTTAAATGGTATGCCTACCTAACGCTGCAGGATCTTACCCACGACCACATAGCTGACGGTGAAACCCTACTGCCGACGGTCGTCTCCCTTCATCGCTCGGAGCTGTTACAGACGCATCCCTGCAGTCTCCTTGACCCCGGCCGAAGAGAGCCAGAGCCCTCCGGACTGTTCGACACCTCGGCTAGTCGGTGGCTATGTTGCCACCCGCTTGGGCGGCCGGTCTGCCAGTTTTTACCGTGACCACTATCGTGTTCGCGTTGACCTGATTGGGACATTGTCACGGAGACCAGTTTCTTATGGGCGCTACCACCGGCGGTCCCAGAACCTGACACTTGTTCGTCACTGTCCGGCAGCTTTTCGAGCAGCGTGCCGGCGTGTATGCAGCGATAGCCGCAGCTCAGTTCTTACTCATGGGATTTATTATATCATGCTTGGTGTCAGACTTCTTATCCGGGATATATGAGTTGAACCACCACAGAAAATAGGCCGGCTCGTCGTCTGGCGCCGCGGTCATGTGGAGTAGGGAATGATGATGGTGGTAATATCATCATCCTCAGCTCGCGGTAAATCGACCGGCCTTCCTGAGTAATGTGGCGTGTTTACCTGGCTGGCGGTCGCTGAGCTCTTCTCACCTTGAGACGGTGTCTGGCCCCACCTCTGTGCCTCCGCGGTGGGCCGGGAGGGTTGCATCAGGCGGGCGGTGGATATGATGCAATGATTGATGTTTGGAGGGGAAGTGCTGCCGGGCGGTGATCTCTGTCCGTCTCAGATACTGCCGAGTCACCGTGTAGTGGACCGTGGTGGACCGGTTGGACCCTCCTCAAATGGCTTGGTCAGGTCGAGAGTGAGGCCAGGTATGTGGCTGGGATGACACATGCTGGACCTCTTGACCTGCCAGCGAATGTTGTGTTGGGTTTTATGATAGTTCAGACTTTTCCCCCATGAAGACAAAGAGATGGGCTGTCACATTTCACCATGAAGGGCTCACTGGACATCAGCCATCCCGAATTCACTGTCATTTGTCACCACTGAGCGGTCTTCAGAGTCTACAGTCGCCAATGGCCGGTCATTTGAGGGCGACTGGTTTTAGGCGCCACGCCCCCGTCGCGCGGCGGTCCCGTGCCGTATAAGGCCGCACGGCCACGTGTCTGGCGGCGGGCGGAGCGGCCCGATGGCTGACCGATAGTGCCCGTCCAGCTGGGACCGGCCGGCCCGGGCCGCGCTCCAGCAGTGGGGGGAGGACGCAGCTCGGCCGTTAGGTGGGCATTTAAAATTTAAATGGCGCTGCGAGTCGCACCTCGGGCGCCAAACACGGGCGATCTAACAAAGTGCTACTCGGCCGTGCGTGCGAGGGGACGCTGCACCAGTGCATTCCAGGCGAGCGACACGGGGGTGCTAACTGGCGGCCAATTGCAGGGCTCCGGGCATGCTGTTGCCTTCATTGCGAACTAGCTACCTACCTACGGTGGACATTGCTTCCATTTAGGTCAACGACCTACAACCAACAACCCATCCTAGTTGGGAAGTGCTTTGAATAAGTTTGTTCATTCATATTAGCAAATTCAATGTTTAATTTGCAGGAAGTTTCCATAGCTTTCAAATCAGACTTTGTATTTAGTCGATAGGCAGTCGGGATGGCAAGACTCTGAGTTACGGCACCCGTTTCCTAACACCACATTATTTCCACCCATGATTCCTGTGCCCCATGAACGAGGTTTCGTGCAGCGCCAGTCTGCGCCCCTTTGCCGCCTGCCACGGCCCGCTCTGCTCGGCATTCCGTCAGTGAATTTCTCCAGCGGCGCCCCTGACGATCGGCGCCGCCCGGCCATTGTTGGTCGGCCGTGCGATGGTTGATGGGGCTATCTATCGGCGACACGTGCCCGGCATCAGCGATCGGCTGTGAGCGGCAGAGGCCGAGTGCTGACCGCGGCCCGACGGCGACTCGACCGGCCGGGCCGGCCGCGACCTCGCAGCCGGTCAATTAGCGCCGGCCGAGTGAAAGTCGCCGAGCCGACCGGTCAGCCGGTTATCGCGCATCGCCGCCAGGCGCAGCCGTGGACGGACGGTGGACGGACGGTGGACGGACGGTGGACGAGTGGTGGGGACGTACGGACGGTGGATGGACTGGATTAAAGATTAACAGTAGTTGATATGGACGGGGAGTCGGATCGCCAGTTTCGTTCACATGGAGCTTGTAAACGCGTTTAAACCCCTTGGCTATTAGAAGGCCGTGCGCCTAACACACACTATCAACCTGCATTAGTATCAACATCGCCCACACTTGCATATATATGTGCTGTCAACTTTTCAAATCCATGTCACGCTGCAAAAGCCGTTGCGATGTAGCGTCCATCATAACTCAAGAACTGTGTGTCAATCCTGATACGAGCTGAGCCATCATATCACACTACTGCACAGTCGAAGTGGGTGCTTATGAGCCGTTGATTACTGCTCAAGCCGTGCAGGTGTTCACACAATCATGGTTTCCCGATTGCCGGCTGCATTAGTGTTGGCTTTCCTTATAGCCCTGGCGAGCTTGACCCCGGACCGACGCCGTCATTATCAGTGCCGTGAAGTGTTTGTACTCAATTTGATGGCCAGGAATTTGCACGAGCCTATCTCTTGGGCTTCACATAGATCTGCACTTTGATTGGGGTCCGGACGGGCCTCACCGATTAGACTCAGATGTAGCCGTGGCTGCATGTTTAGCACTTGGCGCGGCTGAACAGCTTAGCCATGCATTCCGCATTGTAAACATGGCCCCCGTCGGACAAACACGGTTGCACGGTTGGTGCCCATACAGATAGGCACTGCAGTGCTAACCTTATACAAATTCATGGGAAAGTCCGAGCCGGTGTGGTCGCTGGCTGGTCTCTCTGCGGCCCGAATACCTAGCTGTAGCCCACGGTACCCAATCATCGGCTGCCGACTCTCACCCGGATGGAGCACAGATCGGTATCTGCTCGGTGCCCGCGGGCGGCCGCGGTATCGGCTGCGCGCCTCACCGCGGCTGTGTGCGGCCGGCTGATCGTGTCTCCCGGACCCCGCTCCTCCTGAGTGACCGCGTCACGCCGAGCCCGGCGACACCGCCCCGGCAAGAGCGTCCGCCCGTCGATCGGTGTCAACCCCGGCACCGGTCTGGTGATGTCACTATTCACCACCACCGTCCATCGCACCTCTCACCAGGGCGTCCCGCGGCGTCTGATCTGCGGTTCCCTCCCCTCTCCCCGCCCGGGGTGGGTCAGTCTGGCCGGTCAGGGGCGTCCGCTGGGAGTGCCAAGACGAGACCCGCCCGAGACCTGGCGCCGCAGTTATGTCGGTATCGGTTCTGTTTGTCAGCACCCCCCGCTGATGGCCTTCGCTCGTATGCGGTGCCGGCCCGGCGCCGCGGCATATCCTGGTGTCTGGGTGCCGGCCGGCTACCTGTCGACCCGCGGCGGCCGACAGCTTTGTCAAGATTTGTCTGACGCTCACCTTCTGGGAGACGTGCGGTCGCGAGCGTGACGGGTGGTAGGACATGTTTTATTCATGGCCCGTACGCCGCACCAGACAGTATTTCAGACGAGCACGTGACCCACAGCCACACTCTTGTTTGTTTATTGAACATGTTACACATCTGAGTGTTTTGACAACGGCTTTTCTGACAAAAAAGACAATAATCTTTAATCATCAAGGGCGATCATCAATAACAGCAATGGATTTCTATTGAGTCTGTGCTTTGGATCGATCGTTTTTGCCTGTTTTTGTTATGCGCTACATGTTTTGCTGAAAACGAGTTGCGTGCTGCGCAGTGCGTAGATCCTTTGTTTGGTGTAACAGCCGCTGAAAGCCCACTCTATCTGCGTAACACATCGTCAATCAAACTATCGTCGAGCATTGTTCTCGGCAGCTTTTGTCTGGCTATCGATGCATATCGGTGATTTGCAGTTTCAAAACAATTCGTAATTTGCATGCAGCGCTGAGACGGTGAAATTTGAGCGAGATGACCGACCAATGAATTTCAGCCATAGTGTATTCACCTTTATTGTTCCCAGCTCCATTCAGCTTACCAAGTATGACGTTGATCTTCCCTTCCCTATTCATATAGATTCAATGTCACATTCCGTTTCAAGCCTCACGTCCATGCAGAAACCATCTCACAGTTATCTGAATAACTGCCTTGCCGGTCTCGCAGCTTCATCTCCGGATGTCTCTGACACCTGACCGTGGTCTCTGACATCCGCAGTCTCTGACACTGACCGCTCCGCCCCCAGGAACGGCCTGGCCGGCTCGGCGGTGTGCGCCTTCCGTCTGCAGGACATCCAGCAGGCCTTTGACGGGCCATACCGCCAGCTGGAGGACCAGCCGTCCGGGCCGCAGCAGCGCACGCCCGAGGAGCGCCGCCACTTCCAGTGCGGCTCGGACGACGCGGCCGTCAGCGAGACGCGCCGCCGACCGCCCACCGCCGACGCCATCGACCAGGCGCTGGCCTTCCACGCCGTTCAGCCCAACAAGCTGGACCCGCTGCTGCTGCTCGACGGCGTCAGGTGGGCGATGTCGGTCGTGTCTGGTCACGGGGACGGTGACGGGAGGATGACGGTGACGGTGACGGAAAGAGGTGCTGGCCGGTGACTGGTCGTAAAGTTCATTTTTTTTTATTTAATTGTATCTTTCCATGGTATCCATGGTTCCATTGTATCTCCACATTCCTAGCTGTGTCCGACTTATTAGCTCCTGGGTGGTCCCAGCTGGTTCCAGTCGTTGTTCTCTTTCTCCTCTGTTTGTCCATAGCCGGGCGGCGGTAGTTTGTATCTCTCCGGGCCGCTCGCGGCTCTTCCTTACGGCCGGGTCACGCTGGGTTACCGTGTTGACCGGCTGTGCAGCGGCGTCTCCGCCCCTCTGCCAGCCACAACAGGGCATTGTGCCACCCCCGCGGCCGGCCCGGCGACGCCGCCGCATAGATCATGGACCCCGGCGGCGACCCGCCCCCATTAATCTCGCCCAAAACGAGCGGCGCCCGCCGGCCGGCCCGGCCAAAGGCGGCGCCTGTTACCGTGCACGGCCGGCTCACGGTCACGGCACATAGTGAGGAGAGCGGCGCCGACACTGGGCGGCCGCTTCCTGCTCGGCCCGTACTCTCTGCGGCCCTCGGCGGCCGCCCCCGCCCGTCCCGGCAGCCCGCCCTGCTCCAACGGGCCGCCGCCGCGGGCCGGTGCTATCTTTATGTGCTGCACCCACGTCTCCAAGGGGACGGGAGGAGACGCAGAGAACAGAAGAGGTCCTCGCACTAACAGAGAAGAGGTTGTGCTGGTGGTGACACTGAAATAAATCAGACGCGTTTTATACCGCCTCATGGTTCCGAGAGCTCCGGTGTTGGCAGCCCCGGATTTGGCAGCGCTTATCTCGATCGGGCGTCACCCAAAAAGGCAGCGAGACGGACGGGCTATGCCGGGGTCAGTGACGGACGACGCCGGCCGATCACTTCCCGGAGACATTCCGCTGCCGACCGGTCACCCGTCAGGCCGGTCGGCGAGCGAGCGTGACGTCCGCTTCCCAGAACCAAGTCTATGCTCCGCATTCTGTGCCGAGACATGCATGAACTGATCATAAACATTGCCGGCGATCGACACAAACGACTTATTGTCTGCTGATGCAAGCATCACATGGCTTATTTCATGGCCTGCAATGAAATGACATTAGCGGCACTTTTAACCAGACCAGTAGCGGCCGCTGCAAACTGCCGCATCTGCCGCCCGTCACCTGTTTACATTTCTGCTCCTAGATGGCACTAGTGGTAAGCGCCTGAAACTAGACTGTGCCGCATAGCTCCCGGTCGACTCAGGAATCTCAATTTGCGTAACTGCATATGAGTAACGGACCGCTTTGATTATCGGAATTAGGCGGCACTGTTCCGTGCGGGAGAGAATTAGGCTACGACATTACCAAACCCCATGTGCTATTGGGTTAGCGCAGTTGAGATACCGATGATTCAATATCCCGTCGGCCCCAGCTGGCCGTCTATCGGGAGCCGCTATCGCCCGCTATCGCCGATAGGGGTGATGCTCCGCGTCGGTCGCCGTCCACTATCATGTTTACTGCGCTGTAATGCCGCGTGAACAGCCCGGTAATGAGATAATCGCCGAGATCCAACTCACGGCGTGCACAGCGCTCCCCCGCTCGCCGGCCGCCGTTGGAAGCCCTCCGCGGCTTATCGTGACAACATATCGAGCCGGCCGGAGCGGCTGCCGGTTAGTGTTACATCACGGCCCACCGACCAGCTGCAGTCGGCACCATCGCCAAATTTGGGCACAGCCCGCTAAATCGGTCACCGAGCGAGCCACTAAGCCGTTTGGGGGCGAGGACGCTGAGGAGCTACATTTGATTTATGGTGGATTCGCGATTTTAAGCTTCAAGGGTGTCCGAGTTACGCGCTTTGTGATACGTTTACGGTCTTTTGCACCGACAAGACGACGGTGGCTTAGAATGTACGTAACCTACTACCTCCATCGATATTCCATCCAAGTAGTTGTGCTCTATATCATCATGCCTTTGTACGATGCACGGTCTATTATGGGGTACCAGACCATAAGGCCAGCACGGGCCTCATTCACTCGTCTCATTTTAGCGTTAACAGTGCAACAATGTAGAGCTGAATCGTCTGCAGTGCCACCTTGTTCCGAACTGTTTGATCCTTGTGTAACAGCATTCATCGATTCTGTTTCAGCCTGTCGGCGGTCGCCACAGACGTGATCACCACTAAGCACCACATGGCCGTGCACGTGATATTTGTCACCGACCGAGCGGGCACCATCCGTAAGCTGAGCGTGGTGCCGCGCAGCCAGAAGACGTGTCTGGTGGAGGTGCTGCAGCCGTTCGAGCGGCCCACCACCGTCCTCGCCATGAAGCTGCTCAGAGAGGAGGTGAGCCGTGGGGGATTGGCGTCGAGGTCAAGGGTGTGGGTAATGGCTGACGCGTGGCTGAAGGATGGAGGAAGGGAGGAAGGGATGGGGGTGTGTCTGTTCTGGTTCCATGTGTCCCGGTGCCCCCTGCCGCTGTATGACCGACCCCGTCTGTCCCCAGGGCTCGCTGTACCTGGGCACCGACTCCGGTCTGGTGCGTGTCCCCGTGCAGCGCTGCGACCGCTACACCTCCGAGGCGGCCTGTCTGGCGGCGCAGGACCCGTACTGCGGCTGGGATGCGCTGCGCCAGCTCTGCAGCCCGCCGCCCTCCCGTAACCCGGACGTGGTCTCGTGGAGGCAGCTGGTGACCCAGTGTCCGGACCAGAGCCGGCCCGTGGACGGCGCCTGGACGCACTGGTCCGACTGGCAGAGCTGCCAGCAGGCCGACGGCGCCGACTCGGACATGTGCCAGTGCCGTCGGCGCACGTGCAGCCAGCCGGCGCCGGCCAACGGCGGCGCGCCCTGCCGCGGCCTGACCACCCAGGTGGCCAACTGCACGCGCCACGGCGGCTGGACCGGCTGGTCGGCCTGGTCGGCCTGCTCTCACCCGTGCGGCGTGGCCGTCAAGTCGCGCCGCCGCTCGTGCACCAACCCGGCGCCGGCGTACGGCGGCCGGCCCTGCGTCGGCGAGGAGTCGCAGGAGATCATGTGCCACTCGAACCCGCCGTGCCCCAGCCGCACGGCGCTGCCCGTGGACGGCGGCTGGGGCGCCTGGAGCGCCTGGAGCGCCTGCTCGGCCGGCTGCGGCGGCGGCTTCCGGCGCCGCAGCCGCGCCTGCGACAGCCCGCGCCCCGTCAACGGCGGCCGGCCCTGCCTCGGCTGCGACGTCGAGTACGGCGAGTGCGAGTCGAGCTGTCCGACGGTGCGCCGGCTCACCGACTGGACGCCCTGGCTGGCGGCCAACGACACGGCCGGCCGAAAACAGCAGCGCTTCCGGTTCGCGTGCCGCGCAGCGGTGGCCGACCCTGACCTGATCCGTGTCAGTCAGGTCAAGGTGGACGAACGCTACTGCCGGCCCGACGGACACTGCTCCCCCGGTGAGTACTGACCAGTGACGGACACTGCTCCCCCCTCCCGGTGGGTACTGACCAGTGACGGGCACTACTCCCCCGGTGAGAACCATCGATTGGCGAAGGAGGGGTCGTGTTCCTTCCCTGCTAAGTGCCTCCGGTGGTCGACAGTTGCGACTCGATGCCTGATGTTTCGAAGGGCGTCACGGTGTCACCTTGGACACCGTTGGTTTATCTCATAATCTTGCTCTTAAAGTCTTCGAAATGTGTCGTTTTTGGATCACGTTGCCATGATGTCAGCGTTTGGGCGGATGTCGTTGGGTTACAAAAGACCCTGGCAGGCTCGGCCGCGCCAGGTGGCGTCAGTGTCGGGTGGCGCTGATCGCCGGGGTGGCTCGGGTCAGGGTCCGTCACCAGAGGCCACCAGAGATCACCAGGTGCCGGTGCCGTGCCGGCTGGTGTAGTGTTCGGTCCGCCCGCCCGAGCCCGGGGTTCCGCCGGAGATCGTTCAAACTGCTCTGCCAGCAGACTGGGGCGCTGTCCTGAGTTGGGGTCACGGGTGTTATGCTGAGTACAAGAGCAGTAACTGAAGGATGGTGACGGTGTTCAATGACGGCCAGTTGAGGCTCCTGTTCCGTCGTCTGGGAATGTTCGGACGCTCATGTTTGTGATGATCACATGTTTATTCAGCCTTGCTCTTTATTGCTTGCTGAATATGTTACATTCAAAGTTAATGAGAACTTCACCAAATACTTTATAAATCTTATTGAACGACAAAAGGACATAGACAGTCAGGAGATAAAACGAGAACCAGAACAGAAGTTAGTGTCTGTCTTTCCAATTCAAACTGCAGCGCTCTGAATGTAACACCACTCTCGGCGCCGTGTTGCCCTCTCTAACGTCTGTGTTTGCTTCTGTCTTGCAGCCAATTCTGTCAGCCTTGGCTGGGGCGAGTGGAGCGCCTGGTCCGAGTGTTCTGTGCCCTGCGGCGGCGGCGTCCAGGTGCGCTCCCGGGTGTGCGAGGGTGACGCCGCACTGTGCCGCTCCGGGCCGCACCGCATGGAGCGCGAGTGTAACGCACACTCCTGCGAAGGTCAGTGTCAGCGGAGCCGGCAGCTCTCTTGAAATCTAGTAAATTTGTGGTATTTAACAGTCTCGGACATTCTTCAACATAAACAACGGTGCATATCCATGAGCAGTGACATGTCTTTCACTGACCCATAAATGAGCAAGCCATGGAGCTCGGGCGAGCCGTTCTCAGAGCGTAACCTTGCCGAGCTGATCGTGACCCCGTTGTCTGACCGTTCCGTCCGTTCGTCTCGCCCGTTGTCCTGAAGGACCGCCTCTCCCGGTGTTCGTCTGACCGTGTCTGACCCGCTCTGCAGGCGAGTGGAGCTGCTGGTCCGAGTGGTCCCAGTGCTCGGTCTCCTGCGGCGTCGGCCACCGGCGCCGCTCGCGCGTCTGCCGCAACCGGCCCGCGTCCAGCGACGCGGGCGCCATCTGCGAGGGCCACGACGTCGCGCAGGAGGCGTGCGAGATGCCCAGCTGCACCAGCATGGACGGCTGGCTCGAATGGTCAGTAGCTCAGTGGCAATACGGCTGGCTCCAATGGTCCGTAGTTAGACGACCGGCTCGAATGGTCAGTAGGTAGACGGCTGGCTCGAAAGGTCAGACATTGGACTTTATGGACACATTGGACGGCGGCTGGCTGCACTCGTCAGTGATCAGTAGGCCCTATATGGACGGCTGACTCCACTAGGCAGTGCAGAGGGCCGCAGATGGAGGGCTGACTCGACTGGTCCAATGTCAGGGGGCCGGGAAGCGGGTGAGGGAGGGCAGGTAAAGGACTCGCTCGACTGGCCGCAAGTCACTTGGTTCATCACTCCTACATGGATGGGTTTAGCAGTATCGACAGCCGTACAACCACAGGCAATGCAACAAGCAACAATCGTATTCTTGACGTAAACATGTTGCACCACCCTGTCTATCCGAGCAAATTATACATACATTGACTTGTAAATGCTCAACATCCCAAGACTTCAGCGTCACTGACTGACGTCTTATTCTCTGAAATATTCATTTTGAAATATTATCTGAATGCAGTAAATATTTGGGTTGGGGCACCATAATACAGTGATTCGTCTTGTCACGTATCCTTTGTGTGCATAACAAAACGACATTCAGTTTCATCAAATCCGGCCGTGGTGTACTTTATCTGACGGACGGCTCTGTTTACAGGACGGTGTGGAGTCAGTGCGACGAAAACGACGAGCAGCACCGACTGCGGCGCTGTAACACCTCGGAGCCGGGCCCGAGACTGTGCCAGGGCCACGACCGCGAGACAAGGATGTGCGTGCACAACAGCCGAGGTGGGTCTACGGCAGCGCTCCGCCAGCCGCGCGTTTTTGCCGCCGCATACGCCGTCCGCATACGCCGTCCGCATTATGCATGACCAATGAGTTAGGTGTGTCCGCACCTCTATGGACTTTACCGTTCAGTCCGGTCAGGGGCCGGCGGTAAGCACGGAGCGTTACCGCCGCTCTGCCCGGGCGACACTGACACCGGCGGTGGGTGAACTCCCGGCTGGGTCTGGGGTGACGCCTGTGACCGCCCTGTGGAGCTGACGGTGGGGCTCAGCCGGGTGCTGACCGGTCCCCTCTCCCCGCAGATCGGCTTCAGCTGGCGGCCACCGGCGGCGGCTCGACCGAGGGCGCCATCGGCCCCGGCATACTGGTCATGGGCTGCGTGCTGAGCTTCCTGCTGGGAGCCGGGCTGGCGGCCGGCGCCATGTACTACTTCATGGCTAGGCGGCGGCGGCGCTTCGACAAGGCGGCCCAGCTGTTCTCCAAGCCGACGCCGCCCAAGACGGCGGCGGCCAAGACGGCCGTGGCCAACCAATACGTGACGCTGCCTGGCGCTCGGCGCGGCGCGCCCGGCGTGCACGAGCTGGCGGAGCTGAAGAACGGCTACCGGCGGCCGGGCAGCCCGACCAAGACGGTGATGCCGCCGCCGATGGCGCCGCTGACACCCAAGGTGCTCGGCAGCGCGTCCACGATCCGGCGCAGCGGCGGCAACCGCTACGACCCGCTCAGCACGCAGGAGCTGCACTTCGACCTGGGCCTCGACTCGGACAACATGTACTAGCGGCACCGGCCGGCCGCGCCCCCAGACTCAGTACAAACATGTGATAAGATGTGTGAGGGACCCGCCCAACTGTGGGGAACTGTGTGCGGCAGTGGTAGTGACCATTGTCGTGAAGCCGTTGATGAAGCCGAGTATGATTGCAATTGTTTGTGAATATTGCCAAGTTTTACCATTGCTTGCTGCTGGCCCACTTGGTGCTATTGGGTCGGCTGTTGTGCTATGATTGCTCATGCCTTGTGCCATGCGTGATGAAATATTTGGTGCTAAATGTGCCACGAGGTCACAAGCGTCGACGAAAGGAGGTCAAAATCATGTTATTGAAATTATACGCCCTTTTTACGAACAAATGCCAGCTCTTGTCGTTTTCGTACGCTGTAGTGCGGGGTGGTTTGTGTGACGATGCGTGGCCTGTGATATGTGTAGGAGTGTGCCATCAACTAACCCCACCTGACCAATGGGATGGGTGGAGACGATGCCTCGTCGGTGCTTTTTGTACAGCGTCAGCTGCAGTATTTGGGTCCACAGGACGAGGCGCGACATCGGGACCAAACAGGCTGGATTTTAGCGTGTGTAGTAGAGTTTGGGACTGCTTGTTGTGACCGTCCCACCAGTGATTTTGTACTGGAGAATCAGCAATTAATTGATACGTCGCAGACCATGTCAGCGCCATTCTCCATTATTGGAGATTGTTGTACTGTATTGATCATGATCACAGGATAGACACTATATAGAGATGAGAATACAACTACTTAAGCAATGATTTGTGAATAAAAACTATGAGTGATTTTATGTTGTGATTTTACGATACATAGGTACGTGATACACACAAATCCGTTCTAGGTAGCCCGACGAAATTATCACAGTGAATCACACAGCCTTCTCGGCGGCGCCTGCCCACCTGTGGCCGCGCCCTGAGCCGCTGGCGGCCGTCTCCATGATCCAGGAGAGCGCGCCCACGGCCGGCAGCAGCACCGGCACGAACTGCAGCTCCTCCCAGGTGCGGTACACGTCCAGCGAGGTCAGCTGCGGCTGCAGCAGCGGCGCGCAGCTGGCCAGCTGCAGCCGGCCGGCCAGCGCCGCCGCCGGCCGCGGCAGACCGCTCAGCCGCTCCAGCTGCTCGCAGACGGTCAGCAGGGCGGCCCAGAGCAGCAGGCGCGCGCCGCCGGCCGCCGCCGCCGCGGCCCCGCACAGCGCACACAGCAGCCAGGCGGTGAGCCGGCCGGCGCCGAGTAGCCGCCGCAGCCACTCGGAGACGGGCGCGGTCAGCGCCGCCACCAGGCTGGAGACGCTGCCGGAGCGGATGGCCGGCCACCAGGCCAGCCGCGGCGCCGAGCCACTGCGGGGGGAGAGAGGGCGTCACAGAGGCCGGACGCTTCGTATAGGAGAGTCCGCATAGGAAGACTTATTTGATCCTATGAAAATCAGCGCCTATGATTCAGAACGAACATCGATCATATGCAACTTGAAAATCGCCTTACGAGTAACCGAAAGTTGTGCTAAGAATGCAAAACGCTTGAGCACTTACGACACTCAACAATCAGCATCTCACCAAAGCTGTAAGGCACAACGCTTTACTACGCGCTAAGCAAATATCAGTAACACGAAGTTCACCTCACCTTAGGATGATGTCTGTGGCCGCCTGGAGCACGATCAGAGGGCACAGCCAGAGCGCCTGCTGGCCCGTCCACATGGCGATCAGCTGCAGAAGCTGGACGGGCTTCGAGCGACCGTGGAAGGCCAGCGCGTCCCACGGGAACGCCCACTCGCAGAGTACAGCGAGGAGCAGCAGCGGCGGCACGGCTGGCAGCCAGAGGCAGGCGCGCAGCGCGGCGCCCGGCTGGTCGCCGCCGGCCGTCACCGGCAGACCGGTGCCGTCCACCGGGCTCCCCATCGGGCGGAGGACGAACCGCCACAGACTGACCGGTCGCTGGGGAGCCGCCGCGGCCGGAGTCGGAGGCGGCAGCGGCCCGCGGCTGTCGGCGGGGGCCGCCCGCCGCCACTGGGCGCACCTCTCCACCACAGCCGCCGCCGCAGTGGCGAACACCAGCGCCGGCAACAGCGGCGCGCGCGCAGCCAGCCAGCACACCTCGGCCGCGGCCAGCAGCAGGCTGAGCAGCGTCCAGAGCAGCGGGCGCCGCGCCGACCGTCCGGCAGCCGCCGACAGCAGCAGCTGGACGGCCAGCAGCCGGACCAGCGCCGGCCAGCGCCTCCTCAGCAGCAGCGCCGCCACCAGCGCCGGCAGGGTGGCGCGCAGCCGGGCGCCGCCAATCCGAGACCGGCACAGGCCGCACAGCAGGCTGACGGCGCAGGCGGCGGACAGCGCGGCGGCGGCGACGGTTCCGTCGGTCTCGACGCAGACCTGCAGCGTGTGGCGGAGGGCGGCGGCGGTGCGGTCGACGGCGCCGCCCAGACCGGCCGACATGGTACTGAGCGGCAGTGGGCGCACCGCACTACCCTCCAGCCTTCCCCGGTTACTGCCACCACACCATCAGCAGGTCACTGTGTCCGCCACACCACTGCGACTCGAGCTCCGACTCACACCAACTGTACGATACCATGCACTACGGTCGAGCCACGCACTCCCACACCGTCCGGCCGAACGGCGATCGATTTACGGACTGGGCCAGCGGCCAGCGCCGACGGCCACGATACGGGTCGGCACCCGGAGGGGAGGGGGACAGGGGGGGGCGAGGGGAGCGGCTGGTGGGGGGGGGGGAGTCAGTATTATAACAGACACGGAATGGACGCTCGGACAGGGCGACGTAAGGGAGGGAGGGATGAATGCTACAGAGGCTTCACCGTCAAATGACACATGGTTGGGTATACAAGGTATAGTTCAGGCGAACACCACAAACACTGTCAGGTAGGCGCGTTCACGGGCAAAGATATCTCCCAATGCCTAGTCAGAAGCGTCCAACAGCCCCGCGCGGCGTGCTCTCCACCGGGGCCCTCCTGTGCCGGCCGCCACTGGCCACACTGCCGCACCGCCGGCAGTCCGGCACTATCTTATCGGGGTCCGGCCGGCGCGGCGGTGCAGTCCGCTTTTTAGACCGGCGCCGCGACCCGTCAACGGTTGGCCACTGTCAACAGTCGGACGCCGGACCGTACGACACGGCCGGCGACCACAGAGGTTTTGCATGCGGATTTGCATCAATAATGCCGTGACAGAGTGCGAAGCAAAAAGCATTAGCGCTGCTTTCACGACAGACAGGTTGACAGAGTCGCGGATTCCATTGAGTCTTATGCTGTGAGGCAATCAGTTTCTCTATCGAAGACACGCCAATAATGAATGGATATGTAGAAATCAAGTTTGAGATCACATCACACAGTCAGCTTCACGACTCTGTTTTTTAACGTTAGCAGGTGAACAAACATGCATGCATGATATAGAAAGATGTTTGACATTCTGACTTTCCCATGGCACAAGGTGAGAAGTTTTATTTTTGCCACTCAGCGGATAACTGCATGGATCTTTCATTGCGGACAATAAATTTCATCTCATACCCATACCGGACCAGTGAGAAGAAAAGAAGTCATTCCGCAATATTTTGACATGCCTTCGTGGGTGGGTCTTGGGCGTTACCCTACACGCGTAGATCTAATATGCTCTCATAGGCGTCGCCAGACATTTTCGGTTGGGGGGGCAAAATCAAGTTTTGTGTTAAATCTTGCCTTTCCCCAGCCGTTACTCACTCGTTTTACATATCATTCGACGCGCAATGGTGCGAGGAATCCGATGGTGACAAAGTTTTCCTTCTAGCTATAGCATGTATTTTTTTACAAAAAAAAATCAAAATTTTGATATTTCTGGACAAAAACGACCGTTAGAATTACAGTGGCTGCGATTGCCGACGCACTGCAGAGGGCCCCTGTGCAGACTCTCGTCGCTCATGATCATTACCCAGAAGGTGAAAAACGCTCCATTTGAATCGGATCACCTCGCTAAAACCTCCATTCACACATGCGGTAACGATCAATCAAAATGATTAACGATGAATTTCGTTACGGTAATGCTCGTCACAGTGCACCATTTATTTTCCGCTGACCGCATCGTTGAATGGTGAATGTACTCGTCTGATTCGTCGAATCACTGTCGAGTGCCGTACGGCGCTCTGAACCAGCCGTCAGACCAACACGCAGCATCAGCGGCCGGCGGGACCTCGCATCCAACAGCGCTGAATGAGCGGCTGTTGCTGTGAATGGCTCTCACTTTTACCGAGCCATTCAGAAATGTGACAGCGGGCGGCGTGGCTGGCCGTGTCCCAGTGTCAGCCTGACCCGACCCGGGCCGCCGCCGGCGCCGAGCGGGGCGTGGGAACGGAAGTGATGCCACGGCGGAGCGGAACCGACCGGAACCTGGCGGACCGCGCCCCACAGCGGCCCCCGGCGCCCCCCGGTCCCACACCCATCCCACAGCGCCGCTGATTTCAATTCATGGATCCGGCCATAGCACCACTGAAATGGGAGGGGGCTGGGGAGGGGTGAGGTTTAACGGAGACTGAGAGAGAATGTCGGAAGTGTGAATCGGAAGTACATCATTCATCCTTGCTGCAGTGAGAAGAAGTGTTTTGTTCACTCGAGTGTGAACAAAAAGTTTCTGGTTTTTCGAGTGAAGGGAAGCGCTGCAAACGCGACCAAAAATATTTAACGGAACCAAAAGTTACGCACGGCATAGCGGCAAGGGATCCCTTAGAGATAGGATTGCGACTTCCAGGCCATTTCAGGCCACTCAGGGTCAGTGTGGACTCTCAGAAGCCTGCTTAGGATCCCGGAGATCGGCGTGAGTCACCCCAAACATTTACGTGTATGTGGTGCTTTAGGGCTTTCCGAGCCTAAGGTGGGCCCGGAAAGGCCTTTAGGGCACACGATGACGAGCTTTCAGAAGCCAGTGTGGGCGGCGGGCGCTAAGAGACTAGGCCCAGGGTGAGCCTGGAGCCCTCGAATAACAGTGTGAACCGTCGGGGTCTGTGTCGAATCCTTAAGGACCCTACGTTGGTAGGGACATAAGAAACATGTGTTGCGGCCCTCAGAGGGACACGTGAGTTGTGACCCCTCAGATGCCGGGTTGGGGTTAGTAAAGTCTGTCGCCTCAAAAGTTCGGCTGAACTATCATTAGGCCAGTTGAGGTTTTCAGAAATTTTCGAAGGCATCCTCAAAGATTCGTGTGGCCCTTCAGAGGTCTACGTATGTATAATGTCCTCATTCTCAAAGATCCCTGTATGGGCCCTCTAGAGAACATGGACACCAGTGGGACTCTCAGAGGCCGGTTTGGGCCCTCCGAAAAATTCTTAGAGCTCAGTGGAGCTCCTTAGGAGCCTGTGTGAAAAGCAGGCTCATGAGCCCTGCGGCACTTGAACGGTACTTGTGCCTGTCGCAGACATTTGACGAGAGTTGAGAAAGGCCCCGAAGATTTCGTGTCACGCTTTGAACGAAAATTATGTGTCAGCACTCCAAAATTTATGAAAATCAGCTACAAAATGTAATACAGAACCAACAAGGAACATGGCATGAATCATGGCATTGACATTTCCGAGTCTGGAGTCGGAGTCTTGAAGATTTTGGCGACTGCGACTCTGACTTTGGTTTGAACTGCACGCTCCAACAGAGTCTGACCTCACAGGCATTCTCCGAAAGGTACCCCCATTTTTCCCCGACTCCAAAATCTCATCGGATCTGTATCGATCTCAGGGCGTGCCCGGTCCGAGGTTGGGGGGGGGGGGCAAGCTGCCCCGCTTGCCCCCCCCGTGGCGACGCTAATATGCTCTAATGCATTAAATTACGGGAGCGCGTATCGACTTCGGGGTCATTTGCAAAGATGACACGCGTAAATCAGCAGTCAGCATTTAATTTCCGTATTCCGATGTAAAACTGAATACCCTGCGCCGGAGACATGTTCTCTTGAATTAGTCATCAATATCTCCCAATGTAGAGTCGTCAGAGGCGGTCGCAGAGCCGTCAGCTATTAGGTATGTCGATGGACTGGCACGCACAGCCCACCGCCCGCTGACGCTGACGCTGGTCCCACCCGAAGGCGTTGCCGGCGCACAGGAAACAGCAACGCAGGCGCTAATGCCCGGTGGGATACTAAATGCGCTCGCAGTTCCCGTGGTTCGGATTAGTGATGTTAAATTCCGGTAAATACAGCAGAAATGATATGTGCAGGAGATTAGATTGGTCGGGCTCAGTGAGAAGCGCACCAGGCTCCACAAGCACGTAGTCGCACGACGGTGGAGGGATAGTAAGCCGATATCGACGGTCATGACTCATGAGCACTATCAGATCTATATAGGAGTCGTGCTAAACAAGCTACAGGCAATAATGCCAAATGTGGGCCAGTTTCGGAAAAATCTTGAATTCCGTGCGGATGCGGTGTGCAGACACGAATGTGAGTCACCAGAAAACAAAGATGTGTGTCAATATCTCGCGTTTCGACTGATATGGTTGCTACTTGAAACTAAGTAACCACGTACCGCACAAAAAGTAATCACTAACCGCACAAAAAAACGGCCATCAGTTCCATATAGTTCTACCTTCTCATTATACTTAAATCTCTTGCCAACACAAAGAATAACCTGGAAGTGCAGCTACCTGTATATTGGACACCAGCACCCAAACACTCCTCAAACGTACACTGACGCTCACTCGCTCGGGCTGACACTCACGATCCCCGCATTGCATTGTTTGGGGCCGGGTCCCGGGGGCGGGGGCCGGCGAGCAGTCGCCCGCCGCCCCTGGGTCGGCCGTGGTTTGTACATGGCCCGACAGATGGCTGTACTCGCGTCCAGACGGCACAGCCCCGAGGGACAGACAGACGGGACCAGAGGAACAGATAGCCGGGACGGCCAGCGCACTACCGTGCTGCCGCCACCGCGCGGCGCCCAGCGCCGGCAGGGATAGAGAGGCCGGCGCTTATTTAAAAGTAGGCGGTACAAGGATCTATAACATAGCACGTGAGTAAGCTCTGTGGATGTAGCATTACACGCTTAGCACACTGATACAAACATCATTTCCACCTGAACCGCCGACTTTTGATGGGATCAGCACCTTGTAAGTCGCACATAGTGCGGTACGTTGACACTGGCCAATGCCATGTCAATCTATGGCATAATGACAATAACAATCTCTGTGTAAAGTCAAGGAAAAACAGGCATGTTTCCTACCACCGTATATCGGATAGGCCTAGTGACGCTTTAGTTGATGGCGGACTACTAATAAAACAATCGCTTCAGTTACAGATATTTTGTCGTGCCTCTAACGAGCCAGTTCTTGTTTGCTCACCAAGACTTTCCCAATAATACATATTGCAACTGAGGAACGGCCCAACGAAATTTTTCGCCACGTGCTTGGGCATAAATTGGCCGCTTATCTAGCAAACGAGAATTAAATCGTCTTGCAACGATGCCACAGCCGCTTCCGATAGATTTCGTAGTACATTTGCGCAGAAAGCCCTTCTGACAGCCACCTACCCTCTTTCCTAGCGAACATTGCATTGGTTCGATCGCGGGCCCCACGGCTGGGTGGCGACCGAACAGCTAAGGCAGCGGCCGACGAGTGCGTTACATTGTGCGAGGTGCCGTGCAGTGCATACAGTGCGTGCAGTGCAGAGGTGCCAACCGCGCCGTCACACATACACCATGCTCCAATCGCCACAGCTGCGGGCTCAAAACCCGCCTTATGTTCACAGGTAGGGCATGGTGAACGTTTTGTTACCCTGGTAGCGGCCAACGGTTACAGAAACATAAAACGAGCCCAGGGCTGACGAATCGGCTACTGGCGAGCCACAAACTTAGGACGCTTCGACATTTCCGTCATTTAGCATATTGGGTAGATGCGTAGCAAGCAAGCTAAATGAAAATGTTCGCAACAGAGGAGAAGCGTACTTAACTGCAATATTCAACGGTGTCCCGGATCATCCCGACCATTTTACAAACGATTAAGGAGCCAGAGATGACCAGCAAATTAGTCAATCTGCCAATAAAGGCCTGAACTTTTCATACAGAGGGTACACAACCCTCTAAGGCCGTCTAAAACTAGGAGTAGAATAACCATTCCGGCTACATCATCCATCCATCCACCGGCCCACACCGACACCGGACCCGGGGCCAGCTCGTTCAGTCCCCTCGGAGAGGGGTCCCGTGCCCGGCGGACGGAGCCCCGGCCGGCCCGGGCACCTCTGGGAGGTCACCACCCGGCGGGTACAGCTCGGGGAACACTCACAGCTCGGCCGGCTGCGGCGGCCAGCCTCAGCTCGGTACTACAGACCAGTCCGGCCGGCCGGCGGGCGCCGCTCACAGCCCGGGCAGCACCGCGTTCAGGCCCTTCAGCGCCACCTCGTAGCCCAGGAAGCAGGCGGCGTTGGCCGGGAACGCGCGCAGCATGACCGGCGTGAGGCCGCGGAACAGCGCGCTTGGCCCCTCCTTGCGCATCAGTTCGATGAACACGTCCCGGATGCCGCGCGGGTAGGCGCCCTCCGGGGCTGGAGGCAGAGCGGGACAGCGGGTCAGGTGCGCCGCCAGACTCAGGCGGGGGGGGGGGGGGGGAGAGGGGGCGGGAGGGAGTGGTGGGGAATTTCAATAAGTTGACTTAATTTTAAATATGAAGCCATAGCACATAAAAACGACGCCTCGTAGTGCAATTAAACAGAGGCGAAGTAGCTGCATTCAAAAACACGCAGTTAGCCTATCAATCGTGAATCAAATATCATATCAATCGTGAATCAAATATCACCCACTGGGAAGCACAAACCCCCGCCGCCATTTCCCTCCCCCCGTCCCCCCGATTCACTGCGCTGCCCACGCAGCGGCATTACTGACCGGTCTGAAGGCGGCTCTTGAGCACGTCGGGCGCGATGGCCACCGCCCAGTTGAGCATGCCGGCCACGCCGCCGGCGAGCAGGGTGCGCATCGGACCCAGGTCCGAGCGCGACTGGTTGGCAGGCGTCAGCAGCCGCTGCAGCACCTCGTACGAGCCGAAATACATGCCCGAGGCCGGCACATCTGCACGGGACGTCAGAGTCACTCAGACAGACGCGCTGAACGCGTGCAGCAGGGTCACTTTGCAAGACAAGGGGCACAATTACCCGAAAAAGGGGGCAGTACAAAAAAGGGACAGTGTCTCCGAAAAATTAGCATGCAATATGCTTGAAGGCGACGGGAGTCAAAATGCGCTCGCAACCTGAAACGTTCATAGATAACATCCCATCCGAAAGTCTACAGCTCAGAAACAGGCGTACCACGGCCCGCCAGCCAGCCTTGAAGACCAGGGCTGCCAGCCGGCGCCGCCCGCACCGGACGTCCGGTCAGCGCGCTGCCGTTTCCGCCGCGCCCGGCCGCCGCACAGTGTGGCCAAACGCCAGATTAGCGCGAATTTAATCAAAAACGAATTTTGGAATTTTGACTTTTTATACCTATCAGTCGATAGGAAATTGTCCAAAGTATGTCAATATCATAATACTTTGGTTCAATGTCTTCCTTTTGGTGTCCAAAACGCTAGCTTAAGTGGACATACGCAATGCCGGTCCCGGCAGTGCTGAAATCGTCGAAAACCCGCGTCACGATTACAACACATTTCGGCGTAATTGTCGGAGAGGTTTGGAAATAATTAGAAAGGCATATGATTACTGAGCCTCTATTTGATAGTATACCCGAATTCTATAGGTATCCTTGGACTAACCGATGAGTTATGCTCATTTGAAAATGACCTTTTCAGACATCCCCTGAAAACACTGTCCATCTTAAAAACGTAGAGATATAAGAAAATGGCCAAAAAAACTCCACGCCAAATCTACCATGAGAAGATTCGCCACACTTTTCTGGACATGATCCATTCAAGAAACCCTGCCCCAACCTGCCCCCGGCCTTTGGCTCAGCTTTGAACGTATCGGGTTGGCCCGCCCGGGGAGGTCCGGCTACAGAGTGGGCGCGGCGGCGGCTCCTCACGTTACGTTGATGGCTCAACCGCTGTATTTCTAACTTGTTATATTGCAGAATACGGTCGCCAATGACTAAATCTTGGCAATTTTTTAACCCTCGCCCATATAGGGGGTGAGGGTGGGGGTCGAAAGGACCCCTCTCGGTTTCTCGCAAAAAGCGCATATAAAAAGCGGCCGATCGCGACGAAACTTTCAGTACCTACCCTCGAGTTTATCAATTTTACACCTACCCTTTAAATTTCGCGACCCTGACCCCAATGACCTTTGACCTGTGACCTATTTCTCGAGACCATGTTTGGCCGGAATCGCGATTGGGCATATGTTTGCTTGCATTAGCCGCGCGTTTGCAGTCTTTTCGTGGCTTCCAGCGTCTAAATATGTGATATTATGATGTTGGTCCCATGCGTTATGGTCGATGTCAAGATCACTTGAAGGTCAGGTCAGTTTAATGACCTTTGATGACCTCGGTTCACCTTTTTTAGTTTTACATGCTTTCAGGCTAGTTTTTGGAGCTTATTTCGAATTTAGTAACCATTTGAACATTTAGGAAGAAGTTCTGGTGCCTTCGTAACATGCAACGAAGCTGTCACTGGCGGTTGACACCTATTAGTTATGAATACCCGGCAGGACGCCTACTGGTTGGCCTGACCTGACCTGACCCGACCTACGTTCGCGGCTAGCAAAACACCAATACGGGCGAGTGTTAATGACATGAAGGTGCTTATGGTATAAGTCTTTGTTTTTACTCCCCTTGCTGAGGTTCGGTCCTATCGGTGCGTGTATTTCTGCAACTGTCTACCGATTTATGTGCTTCACCAGGAACATTCACACAGAAACATAATTAGGTGTTGATTTTTTTTTTCAAGCAAACTTTGGACAATCATAAGAATTTACCAGAGAATTGATGGGAATTTCTTAAACGATTCCTCCTCCTAACATGCCCATCATTGCTGGGACCCACAATTTTATGCCTCTTATTTGCGGTTAAATTCCAGGATTTCGTAATCAGAGTCGGAGTCGTTCGGAGTCAACCCGGAGTCGGAGTCGTTCGTACCTGAGCATGACCGCATGTACCTACTGTGCACTCAACATAATGGTCTGTTGTTCGTCGTCACTGCGTGTGCTTTACGAGTCATGTGCGCACTCGTGTGTTCGTCGTAACTGCGTGTGTTTTACGATTCATCCAGTGTTTCTTTCACATGCGTTCCAGACCTTCCTGTAATGCGGATTATGCCATGTCTCTTTTGACCATCATGTTGCTTACTGGGGAAGTTACCACGTTCATTTTCATTTCTAGCTTCCGCAACAAGATCTCGTGCCTGCGTTTCGCATCCACTCGTTTCCGTGGGGGCATACCTGAGCATGACCGTATGTACCTACTGTGCACTCAACATAATGGTCTGTTCGTTTATTGCAGAGAGTTGCCTCATTCAATAAACAACAAATTCGAATGTTTGAAATGCTTATTCAGCTAGTTCGGAGTTCTGACCCCAGTCAGAATCGGAATCGTAATCGATTTTGGAATCCGGACCAAGACTCGTAGTCTGAGTCACCGAAAATCCATCGACTGCGTGGACTTGCCATGGCTGCGGAGTCAGAGTCCGAGTTGATCGCATAAGTCGACAATTTTGCCCGGAGTCAGAGTTGAAATTGACTTTTGAAAGCCGTAGTCGGAGTCGGAGTAACTCCATCGACTTCACAGCCCTGGTAAGCACATCACCCGTCGTAAGCTAGTTCTCCTTACTTTTAGAGGCGGAACTATGCCATAATATGTCAGCAAGCATTTACAATGCATCGTAAAAGGTCTCACATAGGTTTAAGTGTCAAATTTGAAACCAGGGGACTATTTTCAACGGATCTGAGCAGCGCTGGGATTAAATTCGCGCTAAACTGGTGTTTGGCCACACTGTGCGCCGGCCGACCAGGAAGGAAGCGGGACAGATAGGAGGCCAGCGGCGCCGGGCTGCAGCCCAGCGCGGCCGGCGCAGCTGTGTGCACGTACACGCAGACCCAACGAACCTGGACAGGAGCGGTAAAACGAACCAACTCCGAGAACCCAGTAGAGGTCGACGTACGGAGATAGCACAGGACCCGGTGCACCCGTGGAAGGACACTGAGGACGAATGGCTTCCAAATAAAGTAACATTATCGAAAAGAGCATAGAACGTAATTGTAGATTGTGCAAACAGTTGACAAAATGAATCATTGAGGGAGAGAGCCTAGAGACTAACATGAAGCCCCTTGGTGAAGAGGTCGCAGATTGGAAGGATCTGGTCTAAAACCACTATCGGAATCTGGTGGGGAAAGATCCAACCGGAAAGAAGTCGGGAATTCCAAAGGAAGGAGCGTCCAAATAACGGACCAGTTTCCTGGTCCTCACGGGGTAAGTCCGCATAGTCACACTGACGCATCACTGGGTCAGTTATCGAATTACCTCCCCTGCCAAGCTCGAGACTGGGGGCCCAGTCGAGGTATATCCGCCCAAAGCTGCACAGCGGCCGATACTGTGTGGGGCAGGGAGAGGAGGGAGGCGGGAGAACATCCGGAGTGTCGGCGCCGAGTCCATCCTGCGGCGGGGGTCGGGCCGCAGAGCGGAGCCGCCCGCCGCCGGGACCGCACGGCAGCGCCATGGCCCGCGCCGCCACCACCGCCGTCATCGCCCTCTGCCTGCTTCTGACGCTCAGCGGTGCTGCATCGGTAAGCTGGCGGGCGCCACCGCACCATCTTCCTTTTAACAATTTAATCAGCTTTTCTAAAGCATTAAAGCTATACGCCAAATAAAGACAGCTGCTCTTCTCTAATATGTAGAGATCCCGTTAGATGTTCATTCTCCACTGTTGACCTGCCCCGTGCAATGAACAGTGAGTTCCCACCGTCCACTCGCACCCTGTGACTGACAGAGTGAGCCAGATGAGAGTCAGACGGCGTCCCCCGGCGGCTCGTGCCCGGCCGTCTGCACGTGCCACCTGACCGAGCGCAGCCTGGTGCCGCTGGTGCGCTTCTCCGAGACGGGCGACCGAGACCACGACTCTGAGCACCACTGGCAGTACTACCACCAGCGGGAGGTGAGTTAGCATACCCACCACTGGGGTAAGACTACCACCAGCGGGAGGTGAGTTAGCATACCCACCACTGGCAGTACTACCACCAGCGGGAGGTGAGTTAGCATACCCACCACTGGCAGTACTACCACCAGCGGGAGGTGAGTTAGCATACCCACCACTGGCAGTACTACCACCAGCGGGAGGTGAGTTAGCATACCCACCACTGGGGTAAGACTACCACCAGCGGGAGGTGAGTTAGCATACCCACCACTGGCAGTACTACCACCAGCGGGAGGTCAGTCAGCATACCCACCACTGGCAGTACTACCACCAGCGGGAGGTCAGTCAGCATACCCACCACTGGCAGTACTACCACCAGCGGGAGGTCAGTTAGCATACCCACCACTGGCAGTACTATCACCAGCGGGAGGTGAGTTAGCATACCCACCACTGGCAGTACTACCACCAGCGGGAGGTGAGTTAGCATACCCACCACTGGCAGTACTACCACCAGCGGGAGGTGAGTTAGCATACCCACCACTGGGGTAAGACTACCACCAGCGGGAGGTCAGTTAGCATACCCACCACTGGGGTAAGACTACCACCAGCGGGAGGTGAGTTAGCATACCCACCACTGGGGTAAGACTACCACCAGCGGGAGGTCAGTTAGCATACCCACCACTGGCAGTGCTACCACCAGCGGGAGGTGAGTTAGCATACCCACCACTGGCAGTGCTACCACCAGCGGGAGGTCAGTTAGCATACCCACCACTGGGGTAAGACTACCACCAGCGGGAGGTCAGTTAGCATACCCACCAATGGCAGTGCTACCACCAGCGGGAGGTCAGTCCGATACAATCCACAGCTTGCCGCCGCTGTCATGACCGCCGGTTCCATCGCCCCGCTATGAAGTGTTCAATAGCGCCTCAGATCAGGTAAAGGAAATATACCACTTTCCTGAAATTAGTATTTTGCTCCATTTTTATATTTATGCCTAAAATGATCAGAAAAGAAAAGAACT